GGCATGCCTAATCCCGATCAAGATATGCTTCCCCACGTTTTTATGAATGTAAGTGATATTAAGATTAAAAGGTTAGAATCCAGTGTACTGCGGAATCCAATATTATCGGTCCCAATATACTGAGTGACCAATGTTATTGGTTCCAATAGATTGTGTGACCAATATTATTGGTTCTAACAGATTGGGTGACCAATATTATTGGATCCGAATATTATTGGATACCCAATATTACTGTACAATATCTCCAATAACGATTGGTATTGGTACATGCCTAGACATATAACGGGAAAAATATGACATTATCTTCATCCCATTCGTCTATTTTAACTAATGCAAAGTGACGTCACGGAAAATCCGTTTTAGATGTCATTAGGATATGACATTGCCACAGAAAAAACGTTAACAAAATATATATAAAGTCACAGTTAAAACGTGACATTAGTTTCATGATGCCACGTTTTTACTGTGACTTTTTATGTTTTTGCCATTACTGTTTTTTACAGTGTGCACGAGTGTAAGAAATATCATCAGCCTGTCTCGTGCATTCTCACACACACACACGCTGCTAATTCAACCAAGGGCAACTACGCGGTTATTCCATAACTATGAACATCTGCTTTTTACTGGACGGATTTTTCACATAAGTCGACGATCGTGCGGCATTTTCTGTCAGATTCTGATTTTTAGATCAATCTTATCGGATTCTGACTTATATACCCTATATAAGCAATTATAAGATTCAGATTAGAATGATCTGATCTTGAAAATTTTCAAGATTCATGGTCACTGATTCTTGGTAAGAAATCAAGATCAGTCATTCTGGCCTGAATCAGGAGATTGTTTGAAAATCATCTCAATTACGAAGAATGAGTAACACAAATGTAGTTAAGAAAACACATAAAAGGTCTAATCCTCTGTCTATCGAAGTTTCTGCTTGTTATTTACTTCACCACTTTAAAATTCCTAAAATTCCTACTACGCAAAAAATATAAGTTCGATACAGTGAAGAAACGCAAAGAAAGAAAAGCAGTTCTTTTTTCTCAGATTCTGACTGAAGATCTGAAAAAAATGACTTTCTCAGGAGGAAAGTCCTGAAATCAAGATTCTGTCAGAAATGATCTCAAGATTGTCGACTTGTGTAGACTTAGAGTTCCTTTTTACTTACTTATTATCCTTTTTGGATTATCTTCTGTATTTTATGGAGTCGACCAATCATAAGGTTCTGAACGATCTTTATATTCTATTCCGAAAAAGATAAAAATCTGATAGTTCTCTTTCGAGAATCGCGATTGTCAACGTATTTTCAGGTAGAACGGCGTTGACAGTCGCGATTATGAGAAGAAAAATTATCGGATACTTATATTATTGTAAAATTGCTACCACTACTAACAGCTCGTTCAAAATGCAAACATTAGATTGTAGGCTAACGGTTAAACGCATCAGTATCCTCTATCAGTATGATTCATCTATATTTTTATTGCTTTTTTCAAACAGATTATTACTAATTTTCGGATTAAAGTCATTACATAGACATAGTGTAGAAAGACCAGAATATCATTTTTATAAAGCACTACAAAAAAAAATTGACAAAAATGTGGGACATTCGGAGAAGGACAGTTTTTAAGTGGGACTGTCTCATCCGTCGATGCTACATTGGTATCCTGCTGTAACTGGATTTCTCTGAAACTTTCATTCCAGTTAATCGCCTTTCCAACGCAATAGATGCGCACGATACTTTCTTCCACTATAGTCTTCTACCCTCCTATTCGTTCAAGGTAGAGCGGATAAAATAAGAATAATTTTTTCAATTATTCAGGGGACACACCCTCCCACACACACCCATTATTTGCGGTCCTGAGTCTGCCTATATACTCAATACTCGCTCTTATATCCTGTGACAGGGTCTTTTTATCTTAACTCAATTTTTCGGTTTTTTTGAAAATTATACATGTTTTCATTTTTCCCTTATGCAGCACTTCTTCGTACTAAAACACCAAATCTTGACGAAGTTTCAGTGTAGATATATATCATGAATAAATTCCTGAATTTATTGTTCATTTTTAGACGTGATCATCAATTCAAATTAGTACTCACAATTTAAAAAAATGTGTGCATGCATCTCCCGACATTATTTTTTCCAACACTTGTGATTAATTGTAGTTTTGGAAAATTGATTTTAATTACTGTTTTTATTTGATAAACTTTTGTAAAAAAACATAGATGATTAAGGCATTTTAGTTTTGTCGAAATTAGTTTCCCATAAAAAATCCTTTCCATTTCATTTTTCGATGAGGTCACTTGTACTCACCGCTTTAACATTAACATTAGGTTTATTTTTTATTTTGGTTGAATAATTTAAAGTAACACCAAGATTCTTCTCATATGTGCACGGAGATATGGTAATGGTGGATGTATTCTTCTGCTATTTCTTCTTTGGTTTTCTACTTGAAAAAAGTTATAGTTTTAGCTCGACAATTTTTTTTACATTTCTCTAACAAATTTTGAAACACGAATTTTAAAAATTTTTTATAAAGTCGAATGATTTATTTGCGGTTTTTTTACTTCTAACGTCATGAATTTGAACGAATTAATAAAGTATTTCCATTGTATAAGCAAACAGGTTGGCGACCATTTGCAAAAAATTATCGACTTTTCGTTAAATTGACAGAGATTATATGTGGATCTATTTTAATACTTGTTCCAGGTATGATTTTAATTTAATTATATTTGTGAACATTTTGTATTCCAGAAACTGGAGCAAATTTCTCCAAAATTTTTGAAAAATTAGAAAATTTTCTGCAATTTTTCAAAAAATGCGGGGGGGAAGAATCTCCCACCCTCTCACGATCGCGCCGACCCCATCTCGACCTTCCTCTGCACCTAAGGGTATGCCATAGAAAATTTGGTGACGCTAGCTCTTACAGGGACCAAATGCATAAAGAGCAGACAAACATTCTTCTTTATACATATATAGGTTTCGACCCCTGTCTTTTAAATTGACGTTATCTAGATGAAATACATATATAGTTGGCTGATTATAACATATCATTGCATAGACAAACGTTAGAGCTATCACCTAACAAAAAATGTTTGAATTGTGTACACGTAGTGCAAAGTTATGGTCATTTTATTAATTCTGAAAAAACATCTTGAAAAAAGATTTACATTTTACTCTAAGATGAAGATGTTTTCTCAAAATTAATAAAATAACCATGACTTTGCACTACGTGTACACAATTCAAACATTTTTTGTTAGGAGATAGCTCTAACGTTTGTCTACACAATGATATGTTATAATCAGTCAACTATATATGTATTTCATCTAGATAACATCAATTTATAGAGAGGAGTCGAAACTTTTGGACCATCCTTTAGTTGAGTGTATAAAATCGTTTGAGTTTAATGATACTAAGTTATCTATTTTAGCTCTCATTTGCTTTTTTCAAATATATTCATCTATATACACTAAGAAGTGTCGTTTTTTTTATATCCAAATAAAAGAGGTTTTTTTGCACATTTCTAATTTATTCATTTTTCTATCTTTCATTAAACACTGATGTCGAAAATTGTGAACAAATGTTGATATTATTTTCTAGATGTCACATGTATTGTGGACTCCGCCCGCAGGGCGAAAGACAAATATGGATGATTTTCGAGAGATTATTTCATCGAAATATAACTTGAAATTGGGTATGAAATAGATAATGTTTTCTTTAAAAAATTTGAATATTAAATAATATTTTTATCTCTAGATTCATATTTCGATCTATATCAATGGTCCATTGACAACTACGTGATGTTTTGGAAAGAATTTTGGTCTTATTCAAATATAATTTATTCTAAACCATATATTGAAGTAAAAAATCAATATATAATTCTAGCATTAGATATAAATGAAAGTCCATTGCATTTTCTTGTAGGTTATTGATGAAACAAAACGTATGGACGAAATTCCAGAATGGTTTGCCGGTGCGAGATTAAATTATGCCCAAAATTTACTTCGTTATAACGATGATCGTATTGCATTATATGCATGCAGTAAGTTGAAAAAACTATTCGCTAATCAAAATACTCTTATGGCTAAAAGTATGTGAATGTTTTAGGCGAGGGTAATCCAGGAATAATTCAAATAACTCATCGACAATTAACCAATGTTGTTAATAAATATCGAATAGCATTGAAAAATGCCGGTGTTGGAATGGGTGATCGTGTTGTAGGTTTGTTTTATTCACTTTTTCTAATGTTATTTAAGAAATAATTATCCATTTTTTTCTAGGATTTCTTCCAAATTCACCCGAAGCCATCATTGCTTGTTTAGCAGCAGCTAGTTTGGGGGCAATTTGGAGTACTGCATCAGCTGATTTCGGCGTGATGGTAAATCAATTTTTTTCATAACAATCATATTTCTTCTCAGCATAAACTTCTATTATTTCTATAATTTATAGGGTGTTGTCGAACGTTTTAGTCAGATAGAACCAAAAGTGTTATTTGCAGTCAATGCTGTTGTGTACAATAATAAAATCCACGATTCACTCGATAAATTACGGCAGATAGTTCAGGGTAAATAATCAATGCGTATAATTTTTGAATTATTGTTTACCTTTGTGATATTATTGTTCAAGCTATTCCATCGTTGAAAGTTGTTGTTGTTATTCCATTTGTACCATCTCATTCCATGAACCTCAGTAGTATATCAAACAGGTAATGATTTTATTTCATTTGTTTGTTAAATAATATTGTTGTTTCATTTAGTATTACAATTGATCAATTTCTATCAAATGTCGGTACTTCTGGCGATCTCATTGACAATGATCAACTTATTGAATATGAACAAGTCCCATTTAATCATTCATTGTATATCCTCTATTCATCAGGCACTACTGGAGCACCAAAATGCATGGTATGATGATAAAAATTATTACAACTGTTAAATAGACAAGTAATGTAAGTTTAGGTACACGGACATGGTGGTACATTGTTAAATCATCTAAAAGAACATATTCTACATTCGAATATGCAAGTTGACGATGTATTATTCTTTTATACTCATACAGGATGGATGATGTGGAATTGGGTATGTATATTCAGGCTTTGTAAACATCCTATTTTTCTTGCTTTTTACTAAAAACGTTCTGCGTTGTCCTATTTTCGGAATTTTATCCTACATTTCATACTTTTTCAGATTGTTTCCTTTTCTAGTCAATTTTACATAAACAGATTTGATTGTTCTAGATTTTTACAAATTTTTATTTTAAAAGTAACATCATAATGTATGACTTTCATGTGTTTGCTTTTTTGATATGTTAAGCTCTCTATGATATCTTTCTCGAAAAGAAAAATTATGTAATCTATTGTGAATGTACTTTTTTAGAATCAAGAGATGTAGAATTTAATCCTCTGCAAAACTATACACATTCAGTTCCGACATTTCTCTATATAACATTTAAAATATTAAAATTTCAGTTTTCAAAATTTCTTCACTTATTAATCTACTCAAGTATATCATATCGAGCAAAAAAATCGTTATGGATTAAAATAAAATACGCTAATATATTCTTCAGAAAATTGTGTATGCGAGTTCGTCTCCCCTTCATCGTGTTTTCATATTCAGAAATATACTGATAATATTGTAACTTTTACTTAGTTAATGGATGTTTGAATTGTTTTATTTCATACAAGAAATCTATTTTAGTTGATAACCGCTATAGCATTAGGAACGCCTATTGTATTATATGATGGTTCTCCAATTGTTCCAAATATTTATCGTTTATGGGATTTGTTAGATGAGACGGGGTAATTTGTTTTGTTTTATTTTTGTTCAATTGTTAATTAGAAAAGTATTTTTATAAATTTTTTTAGAATTACTATATTTGGATGTAGTGCCAAATATTTAACAACATTAGAAGAACGTCATGCTACACCTGGAACAACGAATAGTTTGAAAACATTGCATACAATATTAAGTACGGGTAGTCCACTACATCCGCGTATATTTGATTACGTTTATACAGACATTAAATCCAATATATTATTGGGTTCAATCACTGGTGGAACTGACATTGTGTATGAATGATTATTTATTTATTTCTATCATCACTAAAAATTACATGATTGTTTATACTTTAGCTCGGTATTTTGTGGAGTAAATCCGACATTATCGGTAAGTATAAACAAAAAATTTATGTTTTACAGTATTAAACAATATATTTGATTTGTATAGGTACATCGTGGTGAAATACAATCTCAACATTTAGGAATGGCATGTGAGAGTTGGTCAGATGAAGGTGAATACTAAATAAAACTAGATTTATATTTTAAGAGAAAAAAATTTTTTTCTATTCGTTTAGGCAAATCTGTAATGGGTGAAAGTGGTGAGCTTGTGTGTGTAAAACCGTTTCCTTGCATGCCCATTTGCTTTTGGAATGATAAAAATGGTGAAAAATATCGAAAAGCTTATTTTGATAAATATCCAGGTATTTTTTTTTTTTTTGATGATTGATTTGCATGGCGAGACTTTTTCTAATATTGGCATGATTATACAATCTAGGTGTGTGGGCGCATGGTGATTATTGTTCAATTAATCCTGTGACAAGAGGAATTGTAATGTTGGGAAGAAGGTTCGTTTTAACACGTGCGCATGAAAAACATTTTTTTTGTTTTTATAATGCAGTTGTTGTGATCCTATCAGTGATTCTATTTTCTTTATGATTACGTTATTTTAGTGATGGAACATTAAATCCTGCCGGTATACGTTTTGGTAGTGCTGAAATTTATTCAGTTGTTGAACAATTTGAAGAAATTATTGATAGTCTATGTGTTGGTCAACGAAATCCAAATTCTGATGATGAACGTGTTCTTCTATTTGTTAAAGTAAGTTAAATTTACTCTTTGAATAGTATCCATGACTGATTGTTTATTATTAATTATTTGGATAAAAACCAAAAACAACAAAAACAAGTAAATTAAAAGAGTGACTCTAGATTCTCAGTTCTTTTCTTCCATATAACATTGATTATGATAATATTTTTATACCGTTTTGAAACATACGAACATTTATTCAGAAACAGTTAGTTAGTTAGTTATTTATATAATGTTAATGATGATGATGATGATGGTCTATCTGAATATTTTCGTTTCATTGCCCGATTAAATGAATATGGATTTGCTTGATATGGGATGAATTTAGATGCTAGATAATTTTGATGTTGACGATATATTTTATATGAGGAAGGATCAATTTCATCTGAACTGTCTCCAGAGTTGCTGTTATTTATATCTGTTTCTTCTTGTTGATCGTTGTCACTATTGTCAAAATTAGACAATACATTTTGTCGACGTACCAACTTAATTTTGAAGGCATCATAATAATCTTTAACAGCTTTTAAATAATCTTCTATTTGATCTCGTGTTTTAAATCGATCAGGTCTTTTTGGTGGTTGTGGAATATCGAGATAGGAGGCAACCGAACATGTTACAAATGTCGCAATAAATAGAAAAAATATAAACGAGTTGTTCATTCTAAAAAGATAAGAAAAATAAACATTTTAATTGATAAAATGATATTTTTTTTGTTATAAAAATTTCATTGATTTTTTCTTTTCTATTTTAATTTGAAAGAGTACAATTATTTTTGAGATTATTATAGATAGACTCGTAGTATTTTTCATCGATTTTCTTTTATAATAGTCTATATCAACTAGCGACAATCATTTTATCCTTTCTTTGTGTTGTAAAAAAGTGACAGGATTCTATAAATGTTGAATATGAGTTACCGATGATGGTTCTTCTCTTTTGATGAAAGATTCTAAGTTAAAAATCTATTACTGAAATAAAACATATTTCTTTTGGCTGATAGTTTCTTTTTTTTTTTTGAAAAATTTTTTTTGGTTATGTTCTTGAGTAATAATTGAATAGTGAAATTATTAGTGAATTTTGATTGAACTAACGTCTTATTTTCCCTTTAAGATGTTTTAGTTTTGATATTGAACAAAAATAATTATTATTTCTATATTATTAAGTAATTACTGAGTTGCAGACGGTACTCAGTGGTCACGTCAGTTATGTAAAATAATTTTACAAAAATGTTTTTCAATTATATTAAATATACTTAGTTTTATAGGAAAAAAACCGTAAAAAAAGTCAAAGAATGTCAATATAAATAGTTCATTTTTGTTTAAAAAATAAAAAAAGATAGTATTCTATCGTCCGATTTGTCAAATATAGAGAATTATTTGAAAAATCAAAAGAATAACTCTTCTACAATACAATATCTAACTGTGATTTCGATTGAAACAAAAAAATGTTTTAAGTTCCTCTAAGTAAGAATTCTCTACTCAGATTCTTTTCTCTTGAGGTTTACATATCTCAATTTTGTCTACAAAAATGAGAATTATTGCACTTACGATGTGTAATCTATCTGTGCAGAAAGTTCGCTGATATCTCTCTGTTTAAAAAAGTTTTTATTTCTTGGTATATTGCGATTGATTATCTTAGAAATAAATTGTTATCTGGATAAAATTAAAAAGTATACGCATACACATTACAATTCTTTATGCTAATGATAGAGAAATGTTTTTTTTTTTATTATAAAAAAGAAACACCTAACAAAATAAAAAAAGAGCCTGACTTAAAACCGAACAAATGATGATGAGAAAGAAGAAAAAATGTTTAATTATATATAATGAGATGGTACATAGTGATTATTCAGTTTCAAGAACACTTGGAGAAAAAGAGTTAAGAACGTAGTTTAAAGAGTAGGAATAAGATAAAATTTTCATTTGTTTAGAATGTTGAGTATTGAAAGAAGCAAGACATCTTAGAGAATTGATCCAATATTAGTCCAATGTCAAATCTCATTTTTTTTTTCCAAAAGGAATAAACACTTATTCTAATAGTCTGAATTTTACGTGTTTTAATGGAAAAAAGGTACCTTTTTTGCCGTGTCAAAGATACAAAACAAGTCAAACAACCGATTAAACATAATTATAATTCTTAGATGAACAAAAAAAAAAAAGAAGAAGAAGAAAATCTCAAGATGATACCCTACTAATCTCACTTTATCTCATTAATTTTTCTTGCTTTCTTTGAAAATATACTAGAATAAACTGAGATTTTTTAGAACGCAGTTTCGACTCATGATTTCCAGCTAACTTTTTGATCTTTTATTGAGTTAAAAAAGTTTAAAAGAAACTTTACACATTACATATGTTTACTCTGCATGAATATATCATACAACAAATGTTATTCTAGATATTATTCGTTAATGATTTAGTTCTCATTAAAATTAAAGATGAATATTAGTTTTTAACAGAATGCTTGCTAACATATTTTAAATGAGTGTATAGAGAATTTTCATACTGTTTAATCAACTAGATGGTTGTCTACTGACTTAATATTGTTTTCTAGTCCTATTGCTCATATTAGTTCAATTATAGACTAACAGGAACCTTTTTAGTGTTCAATTACTTTATTCTGAGAAAAACAGTTTAATGTAATTGTGTGTAAATATCTTATAAGATATATTTACACATAACTACTTGAAACTGTTCCATAAAACATATAGAATAAAACATACTCAAACAAATGAACGGTGAAAGGAGTTATAATTCAGTGAATATAGGGAAAAACTCAATATCATTTTATTAAAAAAAATGGTCGTAAACATTTTTTTACAGCTAATATTATAATAATAAAATGTCGTACAATATTTCAAATTTTGTTCATTGATTCGGTCATATGATCACGCGATTATCACAAAATGTATATTGTACGTTGTGCAGCAAATTATTAGTTTGTTTTTACGTAGATGTATTCATTAGTTTATCTTTGTTAGAAATGCTACATAATACTTAAAACTTTCATTTTTTATTGTATGGTACTCTAGAAATTTCGTATTTTAACATGTTTTCTTTCTCAGTAGGATACTGAATATAAAATCTCTCATTAAATTTGAGAGTGAACAAGGACTTTTATTATGAACTTTTATGAAAACATACGGTTTTAGCGACTAAACCTTCGATATATAAACATTCGTCTTCGTCACTACAAAATCTATGTTTTCATAAAAGGTCATGTAATCAATTCTTTTGTCTTTTCTTTGCTATAACTAAAGAAAGTTGTTATCAGCTGTTTTTTCCCGAACATTTTCGTTTCACTAACTTTTAATTATGTTTCTAGTTGATTAAACAAAATAAAACGATCGTATTCTTTCCCTTATTCTGTAATAATGATCTTTTAGTAAATTGCTTAAAAGTATCTTATTTTTCTTCTTAGATCAGTGAAAAAATTCTATGATGAATTCATATTTTTTTTTTTTTTGGTCTCAAAACTAAGTAGATTTGTAAAAATAAGTCAAAGTATTCCATTAATTTGTTCTTAGAGTGTATAGATAACACAGTCGTTTTCACTATGACATCAACTAAATTAAAATTACATGCAATCATAATATTTTGCGTGATCTATCTAAAAAAAATGTTTTCCTTATCTTAGTGATATTATCCATACAATCTGATTGATCTAAAAATCTCTTACATTATTAGTTTTTTAAGATCACATTTTTATTGAAGAAACTCACTGTATTACTGTGGCCAATATTGAGTTAATTTTTTACCAGTATAATGTAAAAAATGATCCGTATTTATATTCTTTCTTTAAACATACAAGAAAAAATATTATACTAATTTTATTTTGTTAATGAGATAAAGATTATTAATTTTCTGACAACAATAAAAACATGGAAAATCTATTATACCTTTCTTTCTCTTCTTCTTCTTCTTCTTTGTCTTCTTAGTTGGTAGAACAAGATGTAACCCACGCCAAAATGGAAGTATGCCAAACACACAAAAACTAAGAGAAGAAGTGGTAAAGAGAAGACAAAAAAAAAAAAAAAAACAAAAAACAAAAAATAAAAGAAAAAAAGAAATCACAAATTACGCTGTTTAAACTTCCTCGGAAATATTTATAGTATCGAACCAAAAACTCACAAATATAATTGTTTTCCTTAAGTACCGAAAGAAAATAATTACTAACTATCTAGCGTGGGAAAAAAAATTCATCTCACAACATCATTAAGAAAACAAAACATTTTTAACTTGGTAATACTTCTAAAACTGACGTCATACTACGAAGAGGTGACATCAATATTTCCATCCATGTATATGATTTTCTTCTTTTTTTACTACTCATCAAATCTATTTTTAAATTCTATATATATGACATATCTGTTGTCTTTTTCTATTACGAAGATGTAACAACATATTTATTATTTTTTTTCTTTTTAAATATAGAGGAAAAACTGTATACGTGCTTTAGTTTACTAAATCATTGTAGACTATTGTTCAAATGTTTAAATGTACTTGTACGTGTTGGAAATATTAATTAATATTATATAAAATTTATGACTTCAAATTTCTCACATAATATAGGTACTCTTTATTTAATTGTTATTACTAAAAATGATAATTAAAGGCGCAAAGATGAAATCAACACATACTACAAATATATATATTTTTTATTTTTACAGTGTTAATTTACTAACATACATTACGATCAAATACATTTGCAAATAAATCTCTTTTTTTGTATGAGAAAAAGTAGCGCACATTAATTGAATAACTATTACATAAATATAGATTTTTACGTTGGTGAATTGCCATAAATTATACCTGCGTGAAACAATTAGATTCTTTTCTTCTTATCCTTTTTTCGTGTGGCAAAATGATGTATCTATTCTGAGATAGATATTCTCTTCATCTAATTGTCATTATTTTTCCAAGTAGTCTAGAAAGATAAAATATATCTCTTGTTTTTTTTTAATTATTTTCTTGTATCAATAGCAGTTCAAATAATAATGTGTTTTTTTGTGTATTTTATCGTTAAGATACACATATTATTATAATTCGAGATAAAATTCACTATGTGAGAATATTCTGGAAAAAAACAATCGGAAAGACATTATAAGAAATCGTACATACGTGCAGGCTAAAAGAAATCTTATACTTCAACATTGAATATTTTCAATATTTAGATAAATTAAAAATAGAGAAGTATGGAAATACTTTCATTTACTTGCCATGTTTTGATTTGATTTCGCTATTCTTTTCCTGTAAAGATATTTAAAAATATTATTATTCTATTATTATACTATTAATCTCTATTATTCTAGGAAACGATAGTCAGTAACCGGTATTGATTGGAAAAAGTAGACTTTTAATTTATATACTTTCTCTGTAATATGTTAATGATGAAAATAAGTACAATATAATGTTTTTGTATGAAAAAATAATAGTGTATAGAAGAGAGTTATTTCTGAAACTATGAATAACGATTAAATAAAGTAATTGTGTGTAATAAAAAGTGCTCTAGTGTAGTTTTACACCTCGTCAGTAAGCGACTATAATCCATTGAGGTTATTATTTAATTATTTTAAAAGAATGTGCCAGACGTAGTAATGGAATTAAGTAATCGACACAAAATAAAAATTGTGGTTGTTATAACTTTAAAAATGAGAACAAGTTTCAAAAGTCTAATCGTATTTAAGGGTACAATGACCGCATTTATTAGTTATAATTACGTGAGGAAGACAAGAAATAACGATTAAATCAAGTCTCATACTCCACATTTGAAATAATATTCGCTGAATAGTTTACGTCATTTCACTATTTTCTATGTGTTTGTACATCCTGTGGTTGAAGTGCAGTTGTCGAATGTGAATGTAATGCCAAAATATACACTGCATTCTTTAAGTAACGAAAAATGTTACTTTTTCAATCCGAACGGATTGGATGGCATTGTACATCGTACCAGGATGATTTTCTTTTGAATATAACACATTGTGAACAAATACATGGTGAAAGGAAACTATTATGAGCTACCATTTCAGAATAGCTTGCATATGGCTAGTTTTTTGAGTAACTCTTGAGCAAAAGAAACTTGGGATTTATACTATTCAAAAGAAGAAACTTGATAGCGTGTTTTCACAACAAAACAAATTAGTCAAATATCGATTATCGAAGTCAGCACGATCTTGATTTTCAGTGATTCGTAATTATGACACAGGAAAGTTTTCTAAAACTATTTTTATATTTCTAGAAACCCCGTTGAGGAAAGTTATAAGGTATTTTTTTGAGATGTTTTTGCAAATTTGTCGTTAGTCAGTTATAGAATAGTCTACATACGTTGTATACTTGAAGTTTTGAAAGTCATCATGACGTATTTAAAATAGGTTAATCATTTTTTATTCTTGATATTCTTTGTGTTCAAGATGAAGAGAATAGACTTTTTTTAATTTATTAATAAAACTTTTGGTTTCTATCTAGCACTTCTCTAAATGGCGTGTATAAGATGAATTGTAAACTATGTAAAATGATTGTTTAATGGATTATGGCGCCGTTTCAAAGTTTTGGTTACTAATGCGCACAAATTTATACGTTGTTTCATATATTTGTTTTTTTTTTATTTGCTCCATTTCAACATATTAACTTCATTAATATTTATTATTCAAAAAGAATCATGATGTCTAAACCTAACAATGGTCAGCACCACGCTCCTAAATCCACATATCATGAATTTACATGTACTTCTGATAAAAATGAGCAATTAAGATGTGCTGCTTTGGAACAAAGTAACGCTCCAATACGGCAAGCTACACCAGATGGAACACTAGGATTTTCAGGGTTGGGGCGTAATACGGCAACTGATGATGAGATTATGCGATTTTCACATGAGAACGCTAGACAGTCTTCTGATAGAAATCAAGAACAACAAAGTGATAAACTCAACCATGAACGTACTGATCGTCGCTCCTCAGCAGGTCCGGGTGAGTCCGTGGATCGAGCTGCATCTGGGATGCGTGATACATCTCGTCGTGAGCGTAAACAATCCAGAGGGAGTACCTTTAGATCTCGCGGAGGACATAAGCAGCAAGAACGACGTCCACCACAACAATAAATTAAACTTTTGCTACTATTATATAGCTATTTTAAGTTTTTCGTGTTAAAATAAAGATAATGGAATCACTTCTCTAGTGGCTTTAAGTCTCTCAATTCATAAAATCTCAAGAATCATGATAACTTTGGACTTCGGAGAATGTGTACACATGCAGATTGTACATATATCACCTTGACGATATACTGAAGTAGATACAATAGGATAAATAGTCAACAAATCGAGCGTAGGAGTTATACTGTAATTCTTTTCAGATATAATTTCTCCAGATGGTCGGCTTCATTTCTGTATAAGTAATCATTGGTACCCTTAACACAAATTCTGACTCAAAATACTATTACGATCAATCATTCTGGACACAGTTAGAGTGATACTGAAACACTAAAGGGGGATGTCGAAGCCATGAGTACAAAGCAAGAAGTTTTAAAACTTCTCTTTGTACTTCGTACCAAATCTGTACTAATCTGTCTTCAACACAGCTAGAGGGTTCTCATCTCAGCAAATGGAAATGGGGATCAATTATGAAAAATGGAAAAATCCCGCTGTCATCTATATACAATTCCTCGTTCAAGCAGAAAGAGACGAAACTGAATGAAAAACCATCTTTGTTTTGAGATTAGTGCCTTCTGAGTGATAAATCGGTTGGGAATAAACTAAAAATCATTTTTTTTATTTTGAAATAATGTTATACTGCCAAATTTGTAGTAATGGCATTATTCTAAAATTGTCTCTCGTATGTGTAGTTCATAACTAAAATGTCTCAGTATCAGGAAAGGAAATTGAGTTTTGTATATGACTCGAAAGAAGATGCATGTTGAGTTTCGTAACTGTAGAACCTTATGAGAAACCGGAATATTAGACGAGATGCCGAAATATGTGCCGACAATCAGCTGTCCGTATCGGAAGCCAAAGGTAGACCATCGCTCACAGAAATATTCTATGCAGCAGTACCAGAACATCTTCTATTACATTACGCAGTCGGATGACGCAAATAGAAAATTTCGGCTTCGGTTTAATACAATCGTCTTAGGCGAGACGAGCGTCTGCTGACCAGTTAGCAAACATCATCGGACTGTGAGTGTCATTCATATCCCATGTAATGATGCTTCGGATGCAGAAAAAACGATGTTCTAAAACATTCTTTAAGTTGCGTACGACTCCAAAAACCGAGATGTGAAAAGTGACCCATTTTACCGGAATACATGTTATAACAAAAGTTCATCTGTTATCCTGTATTAACCATATGTTTTCTATTTTTGCTTCAGGTCAAAAATGGATTAAAATTGGATCCGAATTTTATTGATTCAATCAAAGTGACTATAAGAAAAGAATTATCTGCACGTCATGTACCAAGTCTTATCCTTGCTGTACCTGATATTCCTTATACAGTAAATGGTAAAAAAGTTGAAATACCGGTTCGTCGAATACTGGAAGGTCAAAAAGTATGTGCAACTGGTTCATTGATGAATCCAGATTGTTTAGAATATTTTCGACATATACCAGAATTATCGCAATGGTGATCATACTTTTAAAACAGTCATTTAAATTAAAAATAAAATTTTTATTTGTCATGTTTTAGTCTTTACTGATGAGAACAGTGTCTATTAACTTTTTATTTTTTTCTCATTTACTCAATCAACATATCAGCATTTTTCCAAGATATTTTAACTGTACCTCATTTTAACTGTTTCTGTTTTTCATTTGGATTTAGTTTTTACCTTTTTAATATCATTCTTTACATACCCTTATTTATAATGGTCTGTGGTGTTTTAACGTTATGTAAGTAAAGCTATATAGATGGAATAACAGACTGCACTCAACATGGGAAACGAAATTAGTGAATAAGTCGATTTGAACTCTGAAATTTGACATAAAATTCCCAAGATTAGAGCCCTCGCTCTAAAAAAAAGTCGTAGATTAATAAACTACAATAAAAGAGTTTTTTGGACTAAAAAACTGATCAAAAAACCCCAAAGAGTTTTCTAACGGGTTTTTACTAAAAAGCGTTCGTGGTCGTTTCAAAATGAAAAACTCACGGTTTTTGGGCGAGTTTTTAGTCTTTTGATGATTTTGAAAAACTGAGGAAAAAACTAACATGGTTTTTTAAAGAGTTTTTTAGACCCAAAAAACTCTCCCAAAAACCGTGAGTTTTTCATTTTGAAACGACCACGAACGCTTTTTAGTTTTTTGGCCTAAAAAACCCGTTAAAAAACTCTTTTGGGTTTTTTGATCAGTTTTTTAGTCCAAAAAACTCTTTTATTGTAGTTTATTAATCTACGACTTTTTTTTTAGTGCTGTAGGTCACGCTAACCTGTCCTTCGGTTAAGGTTACGGCTTCACAAGTTAGGACAGGTTATAGATTACGAAATTTTTTACAGGATAGGTTACCAGAGCTGGGCAAGTCACAAGTCAAGTCAAGTCTGATTAAAAATTAGGCAGAACATAAAATTTACCAGCGTCTTTTGGGTGAGAGCCAGCTTTTATAGTTTCGGAAAGTCTGTTTTATGGTGAAAAATGCCTCATTTAAACAAAAATCGCTTACTGGAAATGACTTGAAAATTTTTTCAACTCATCACATCAAACGTTTCTATACAAGCTAATTGTATTGTTTGAATATCTTTTGATGAGCACAAACTTAACAAAGTGTATTCTACTACATATAGATGTTACTTCTATGCTCTTTATAAATGTCAGCAGTATTTGAGAAATTATTAGACTAAAATTTCGAGCCATGAATACTGGTTAAAAACTAACGTCTACACTATGATCTGAGAAATTTAGTATATCAGCAATGCTGAATACAGTTAGATTGCAAATACAGTCACGGATGGTAGTGTATAGACTAGCAGAATTGCAATCTAAAAGACACACGAAATGAATTAGACTATTTGTTTATAGAGCATCTTGTCCGTTCTATTAGTATTTTACAAATTTTGAAATTATTCACAATATACCAAATGTATACGTCAATCAACAGTACTGTCCACAAACTTGAGGAACGACCATGATTCAATTTCCTTTTTTATGAATGTCATTTTTGTTAACGTTTTTTAATTCTCGAACATCTTTCTCGTTTAAGGCCTCACCCCCCCTCCAAAATCAATTTTGCATGGGATTGCCACGCAATTTTCCACAAATGTTGGGCAAATCAAAGTAAAGTTGTGAAATTTTTTTTTCGCCGCCAGACTTCAGCGTTCAGGAGTTTTCTAGAAACCAAGGCCCAAAATGGGCCCTGTGTCTGTGCAAATTCTTTTTCACTATACTTCAAGGTACAGAATGCTCTATGCTATGAAGTTCAATAAAAGCTGTACAAATCAACAGAAAATACTTTAGGTTTTAAAAAAGTTTTCTAGAAGTCTTCCGCATTGCAGCGATATTTTTTACTACTCTTGAGTAAAAAGTCACATTGAGCAGGTAAAATAGAGTACATCTTGCTAGTCTGACATAATTTGGATGGATTTTGACTGAGTTATGAATTTTTTAATTTTACTCAGAAATAGGCAAAAATGAGTTATTTTACCTCATATAGATTTTCACTAGGTTTCTAGAACTTATTTGAAAAATAAATGTTGCCACGAGATTCAGCGTGGTTCATTACCTATGTTTCCATTCGTCTTCGGAATTATCTCACCTAAAGAAATATTGATTCTGGGACTCTCAGGAACTGCGATGCCACACCTGAACCAGGGAAAATTAAGAGTCCGCTTGAGTCCCATTTTGCAGAGGACACTCTGAATTATATATCTATAGAAAAAAACTGGTAGATTGCTATCTCAATATCCGGAGATCCAAACTGGTTTTCTAAAGACCTCCTAGAAAACCAATCTTCTGAATATTGGACTTAAAAAATATTCACTTATTACACTCCGTTTGACCTACTGCTGATTAAATACACGTGTCCGTCCAACGTGAAAACATGACTGTGATCGAATTAAAAATATTTAAATCAATGCAATTTGAAATCTTAACTTATGAAGGACTCCGTTTTCCGTTCAGAAATATAGATTTTCTCATCAGAAGTTAATATTGAACTAAACACATGGTTAGATAGCTCAGGATGTTTATCAGTCTTCTCATCTAACATCGTGCTCATCATACATAAGATATGTTTGTAGAGCTTGTGTACACATGTATATTCTGTGCTGTAATATTCTCAATGACTTTTAGATAAAGTTTTTTCAATTCGCTTCATTCCTGCCTAAAAGCGAGTGCAATTTCATGACGGTATCGTGAGGTCATTAAATTAAATATTGCATAATTCGGGCAAGACTTTACGTCTTAAAATTTTTCGTTTACTCAAAAGATAGAGGAGTATCTGAAGAATATCCAAAGCTGAATACTTTTTTAATTACACAATTATTACAGGTACCACCTTAATTGAATTGTCAAAAATCAGTTACAAAAGTGTGCTAAAATTCAGCCAAACTCATCATACGGCTACAAATCGGTAGAATCATGCGATCTTGTTCCAGTTTTCACTTCATATAATAGAGAACAATCTCGTCTACAACTTCTCTATTTGTCATTGATGAAGAATTGTTCTCTGTAAACCAGTGGCCTTTAAACTCGAACTTTTCCGTGCAAATTACATGGACTGACCATAATTACCCCAAGTGACTTTTTTTGAAAAAGACACATTCTCGTAGTTTGTAATTAATTAATTAACGGTAAGCCCAAATAGCATGCAATTCATACAGATGATAAAGCTTGAAATCCTCTACAGGATGGTATAATTTTTAATTATTTTCCTTAAAATTCTACGTTGAAACTAAGTTGTTTAAGATTATCACAGTCATTTTTGTTGTATTGACCATAATTACCCCAACGGTACACGATGACTGACTATAATTACTCCAAATGACCCCAACTTACGGTCAATCAAAAGGTCCTCTCTTCAAATTGATTAGTACTAATGAACGCTAATAAATTTTAAGAAAATTTTTACAACAATCGATAGACAGGAGTCACCACTGTTTACCTGTAAAATATCGCTTTTCCCGAATAAAAATTGAGCGAACTATAGCAGAAATACAATAAAATTTTGAGGACTTGACCATAATTGTCCAGACTCATTTTCTTTTCTCATACATTTCTTTTATCTTATTGTATAGAAATAACTGTTCCCTTTATGATTTCGTCTTTGTTTTTACTTGGTTTTCCACTAATCACATTTGTTCATTTCACAATAGTTCACAATATTGAACTTTGTCATGCATATCGACTGATACTCACGCATACATCTAGAATTCACCTATTTCTTCACTAACACTATGATATTGTTATGTATGAATAAGAAAATATAGTTCTTCGGTTATGAACTGTAGAGTTAGAATATGTTCAATTACATTCTTAAGCTAAAAGAGAGTCTATTGAGATTATTTTAAAAATTTATGGAATATTATCGACAATAATTTAGGACGGAAATAACATAAAATCGAAATTCGTCATTAACTTTGATATTATATCAAATGATGTTGGAAGACTAGATCATGTACTGTAGGGATAATAACAGGAACTATTTTTAAATCTATTATTTAATTTTTATTGAAAATTCAACGTTTTGAAAAAAACAAATGTTCATTTTCAAGATAAAATATACAGATAAATAGACTATATTGTAACATTAGAATCAGAAATTGATTTTTTAAGGATGATACTGAATGCGAAAAGAATGATGACAAAACGGTGGAGGCGAGTAATTGAATTTATTCTGCAAAGATAGATAGTTGTTGATTTCTGACGGTACAAAATTCCCATATAATACCTCTTAAAATCAAGTTAATTATCCCCACCGCACATTATACATGTTAATAATTTGTTTATATTCATTATGAACTTTCGATATATTTATTATTCAAATTGTGATTCTCAAGTTTAACTGTTTCTTTCAACTTGTTAAACTAGTCATTTAGTTAGAGACATTATAAAACAATTATTTGTGAATTTTTGTTCTATAATTTGAAATACAGTCAAAATAATTAAGTTTATTGTTTTAGCCTATTCAAACAACAATGTTCAATGTCATGCCAAATGAAATTGTATTAATGATATGGAAATATTTGGATAATGCTATGCAATTAATAGTTTTTTAAATTTCAGTTATCGCTCTAATCTCATTATTAAAAGAATATTGTATGAAACAATTAGATTTAAACAACATTTTATATTCGACTGTATTGTGAATATTTTAATCGATGAAATAAAAGACAATATTGAAATATTAAAAATAGGGCATTTATCTAAATATGGTCAATTAGAGTTATTTTCATCACAAATAAATAAAAGTAAGTCCAATGATAAAACAAAACTTTTCAAAATATAAAATAAATTTATCTTGCTCGTTTAGATAATTTATTGAGTATATTTTCAAAACTTCATAAAATTATTTTAGCAGATATTCAAAAAGATTCATTTAACAACTATTTTTATCTATTAAAATTTTTAATAAATGTTACGATTATCGGTTATTCGTTGAACGATGACGCTGGACAAATATTTGAAAATTAATTTTTTTATACTA